AATGGGTCAACAATCTAAATATAAGAGGTAAAACTATCACACTCTTAGAAGAAAACATAGGGGCAAATCTTTAGGGCCTTGGATTTGGCGATAGATCCTTAAATATGACAACAAAAGAAGAAATAGATAAATGAGACTTCATTAAAATTAAAATCTTTTGTGCATTGAAGAATGCTATCAAGAAAGTGAAAAGATAACATACAGAAAGGGAGAAAAATATTTGCAAATCAGAATATATATTTATATATATAATCTCCAGAATATATAAAAGCTCTTACAGAACAACAAAAAGACAAACAACTGAACTTAAAAATGAGCAAAGGACTTGAACAGACACTTCTCAAAGAAGATATACAAATGGCTAACAGGCACATGAAAAAATGCTTAAAATCATTAATTATTAGGGAAATTAAAATCGAAACTACAATAAGATGTCACTTCACATACACTTGTTAGGTACAATTGGTGGATTCAAACAGCCAGCCTTTTCAAATTCGCAACTGAGCACTTAACTTTTGTGTCACCAGGACTCCTTTCACATCCATTAGGGTGGCTTTAATTGGAAAAGAAAAGAGCAAGTATTAGTAAGGATGTGGAGAAATTGTTAGCTTTGTACAGTGCTGGTGAGAATGTGAATGGTGCATTACATGCAAAACAGTTTGACAGTTCAAAAAGTTAAACATAGAATTATCATACGACCCAGCAATCTCACGCCTAGGTATATACCCAAAAGTAATGAAAGCAGGGACTCAGACGCTTATACACCAATGTCCACTGCTGCATTATTCACTATAGCCAAAGGCTGGAAACTAGCCAAATGTCCATCAACAGATAAATGCATAAACAAATTGTGGTATAACCATACAGTGGAATATTATTCAGCCGTAAAAAGGAATGAAGTACTGATGCATGCTATAATGTAGATGAATCTTAAAAGCATTATGCTAAGAAGCCAGACATAAAAGATTACATATTGTATGATTTATTTTATGTACAATCAAGAATAAGTAAATCCATAAAGATAGATGTGGTAGTTATGTTTGTGTGTCAGCTTGGCTGGGCCTGGTTGAGTGGCTGGACAGCTGGTGGTAGTTATTCCCTATGATGAGACTGGCAATCAACTCCATTGTAGGATCTACCTTTGGGATGTGGTCTGCTTCCCGTATATAAGCAGAAGCCTTGGGAATGGTCTCTAGCCTATGGCACCTTGGACCCTGCATGTAGCTGTGTCATTGCAGCAGCCTGCCATGTTCTGCCAACCTTGGGGCTTACAATGAACTTGAATTAACGGCCTGCCGTGTGGTTTGGTAACATCGGGACTGTGCCTTTTTACTTGTCAACCTTGGGCTTCTCAGCCTCAGAAGCCAGCAGCTGTCTGAGTGAAGAAATGCCTCTAACTTCACTGGGCCAGGAGCAGGAGGCAGAGCTGGACCCCAAGGTTGAGGGGCTTTCACCCAGCCCCTAGAGCCTGGCACTTTGAATTTGGACTTAAAGCCTCCAAACTGTAAGAGAATAAACTCCTGTTTGTTAAGGCCATCCATTTGTGGTATATTCTTGTCAGAGAGGCACTAGGGAACCAGAACAGTAGATATTATATTAGTGGTTGTCACATCCCACTAGACCAGCAGCACTGGTTGGATTCTCAAAACAGGTGGAAAAAGCCAGGTTGATCAGATCTGCTTTTATTAGGGAACTTACATACAGAGATCAATGCAAAGATTCTCACAACAGTCAGTAAAGAGTCAAGTGTCACCCAGGCAGACAGCCACACAGCAGTGGGGTGGAGTTTATATACTTACTGCTTGCATGCAAGGCTATGTGAAATGGACCCAGGAAAAAAAAATACACCTAAGCTAGGATGGATGGGGCTGTTTCTGTATTAGTTAATAGACTCCAATTGATATGACCAGGAAGTCAAGTGTTTGGTATGTATTTTCCTGGCCCCCACCACTGCTCAGTTGGGTACTCTGGTGCTCTCCCAGAGTCCTTTGCGGACAGGATCTATCTTGTATTGCTCAAGGTCCTCTCAAGTGGTTGCTAGGAGCCAGGATGAGGTAGGAGCAGGGAGTGACTACTTAATGGACATGGGTTCTCCTTTGAGGTGATACAAATATTTCAGAATGAGACAGAGATCCTCTGGTAGCATAGTGCCTTAGGCACTTGACTGATAACCAGCAGGCTGGTGGTTCATACACACCAGCCACTCCTCAGGAGGAAGACTGGGCAATCTGCTTCCATAGAGATACCGCCTCAGAAACCCAAGAGTGAGTTGCTATGAGTTGGGATTGACTCGACAGCAGTGAGTTGTTTTTTTTTGAGACAGAGATGGTGGTTGCATAACACTGTGAATATACTAAGTGCCACTGTCACATGAAATGGTTAATTTAATGTTATGTGAATTTCACCCCCTAATAAGAATTGACTTTAAATAATTATGGCACAATAAAGCTGTGATGGGGGAGCAAGGGGCACTGGGAAAGCCCTGGAGAGGAACCTGACCTAGACACGAGGTGGGAGGTCAGAGAGGGCTTCTCAAAGGAGGAGACCTGAGAGCTGAGTGGGAACAGAAAACCAGGTGGTGGGAACAAAAGGGAGTGGGCATTCTGCACACAGGGCTCAGGTGCCAGAGGAAAGGGAGACAGCGGAACTGAAATGATGAAGTCAGTTGTTGGGACAGCGGTTTCAGTGTGCTCCGTGGCAGAGGTCTGCTGGCGTCTGACTGTGCCAGCCGGGGCAGCTCGAGGGCAATGGGGAGCCATGGGGGATGTGAGAGTAGGCAAGGGCTAGAGTAGCCGTGTTCACAGATCCCTTTCACGGTATAAAAATGGGCTAGAAGGAGGGTGTCTAGAGGCAGAGTCACTGAGAGGAGGCTGGTGGGGGCGGCAGGTGTCTAGGAGAAGTTGGGCAAAGCCACAGCTCCCAGAGGACAGGGGAGGCTGCAGGTGAAGCGGCCAGGCTGGGCAGGGCCAGGGCAGACAGAACCACTCTGTTCTCTGATCGTATTGCAGCTTTGGGGTTCATGAATTTTTCAGCAAAAACAGGCCTCGAGTTTCAGATTCCAGGGCTTTGGGCCCTGGCTTTTAGGTTCTGTTTACTGCCTGAAAACATCTCACTGAGGGTCCTAGGAGAGGGGTCCTTGTGAGTCTCAGGGATGCCTGAGCTAGATGAGGGCCTGCATCCCCAAGCCTTCTCAGCCTTCTCTGGTAGGATCATTGAAGACCCCTCCTCCTTTGAGCAGAACCAAAAAAACCCACTGCCACTGAGTCAATTTTAAGTCCTAGCAACCTCTAGGAAAGGGTAGAACTGCCCCATAGGGTTTCTAAAGCTGTCAGTCGTTATGGAAGCTCACTGCTTCATCTTTCTACTATGGAGTAGTGGTGGGTTCAAACCACTGACACTTCCGTTAGCAGCCGAGTGCTTTAACACTACGTGACCAGGGTTCCTTCTCTGGGCAGAGGCAGCATGAAATCCTGAGCTTTGCAGGGTTCCAGTCCCTGTCTGGCTGGGTGATCTAGTGTAAGTCACTCGCCCTCTCCGAGCCTCAGTGTCCCCACCTGTCATATGGAGATAACGTGTGTGTGTGTCAGCTGCTGTTGAGTTGGTTCCAACTCCTAGTGACCCCAACACTGCCGTCCCTGCACCAGCCTCACCATTGTTGCTCTGCTTGAGCCCGCCGCCGCAGCTGCTGTGCCAGTCCGTCTCATGGAGGGCCTTCCTCTCTTTCGCTGACCCTCCACTTTATGAAGCATGATGTCCTCCAGGGACTGGTCTCTCCTGATAACATGCCCAAAGTGTGTGAAGTGAATTCTCTTCATAGTGAGTACCATATACTGAACCACGTGCTGTGGCCTCCCGGAAGAAGGGACAAACCAGTCTCAGAAGAAACGCAACCGGAATGTTCTGTAGGAGCAAAGTCAGTGAGACTTTGGCTCAGTTACTTCGGACACAATCATTAGAAAAAGGAAATGATGGTTGGTAGAGGGTCAGCGAAAAAGAGGGGACTCCTCAATGCAGTGGACAGACGGACACAACAGCTGTACCAATGCACTCAGACACAATGACTCATAATGACAATGAGGGTGGCCATTCA